CCCTTCCCCTCTCTCTCTCTCTCTCTCTCTCTCTCTCTCTCTCTCTCACACACACACACACACACACACACACACACAGAGGTCAGAGGTTAACCTGAGATGTCATTCTTCAGGCACTGCTCACTCCTTCCCCAACAACTTAAGAGTGCACAGGCTAGTCTGCCTGGTGAGTGAGTTCCCCTCCCTCCTGGCCCTGAGAATACAGCATGCACAGCATGCACAGCTTTCCACGAGGATTCTGGGCTGGAACTCAGCTGCTCATGCTTGCACAGCAAGCCATCTCCCAGCCCTGGGCCCAGGCCCAGGCATTCATTCCTGCATGTGTGTGAGTGCACATGCTCGGATAGGTTTGTGTAGAGGCCCAAGGTTGGACTCATCCTTTATAGCTTTCCCACCTCATTTACCGAGGCAGACTCTCTCAATCAAACCCAGAGATCCCAATGGACCAGCCTCACGCATGAGCCCTTGCTTGCTTTGGGGATCCCCGTCTCTGCCTTCTGAGACTGGGATCATACCCATCGTGCCCACCCAGCATTTTTGTTGGTTTTTAGAGGTTCAAACTTCATGCTTGCAACGAAGATGCTTTCGCTGCTAAGAGCCATCTCCCCAGCCTCACCCCCATTTTCCTACCTGCAGCCAGAGGGCTCCAGAACCTGTTTCCATCTCTACAGAACAGAGAGCCCTTAGGTGGCTGGCAGTTGCTCTCCCCAGACAGCCTGCTAACCTTTCCATCTCCTGACATCTCAGAACTTGGGCTCTGTAAGGGATGTGGCATCCCGCCCCTCCCCCCTATAGAAAGCAGTGTCTTTTACATTGACCTGCTGTTCTTTCAGCCAGGGGCTTTCTGACTGTCCCAGGATTGTCCCTTAGGGTCCCTCATAGGACCAAGCCTGCTGGTGCATACCTGGGATTCTTGCACTGGGGAGGCTGAGGCTGGGGGATTGAAAAGTCCAAGACAAGAGCCTGTCTTCATAAAACTAACCTGTGGGTGTGGTCTGGTGTCTAACTGACTTCTCTGGTCTAGAACACCTTGTGTCCTGTCACAGCTCATTGCTGGAGGAAGCAGCGTGTCCTGTGTAACCCCGGGGAGGGGAGTCTGCTGCATGTGGCCAGCTTCCTGCGGTCTCGGCCCAATGCTTTCCCCTGGGCTGGCGTACCCTGGGGTACATGTCTGCTTTCTTGTAGCCTTACCAACAAGGCACTGAACACGAGATGGTGTTAGGGACCCCTGCCATAGCCCTTTACTTAAAACGTCTTAGGCTTCCCACTACTCTAAGCGGTAAAGCCCACCCCGCTGTCCCCTCCTCCTCCTGCTGCAGCTCTGCCCACATGTCTGGTCTCATCTGCCTCCCTGCTTAGCCATACTGCCTTCATTCAGCCTTTGCACCTGGCAGGTTTATCCGTCCTCGGGGCCTCTGCACGAGTGGCTTCCTCTGGCCTGGAATATCTAACTCCTTTCACGCTGTCATCTAGCTTTTCTTTTCTCTTTTAGGTTCCTTCCAAGTGCCCCAGCTCAGGGGTGCTGGTCAGCCTGCCCCCCTCATACACTCCTGCACCTCCTCTGTCACCCTCACGCCTGATTGAACACCCCGGGGTGCAGGCTGCTCAGGTTCCTGCTCACACCATACCTCACACAGTACCTCCCACGCCTGCCAGGACCCCAGGCTCCGAATTCAGGGACACCAGCAGCGAGTCGAGTGTCTCCCAGTGAGAGGCGGGGCGCAGTGAGCCCACCTGCCCCGCCCCCACCCTGGCTGGGTGTTCTGAGGAATGCCTATTTATAAAATCAGGGAAGTCTGTAAATAGGTGTTGAAGTCTTTCCTTCTTGAGGGTGGGGAGGAAGTCTGAGGTTTACAAAAACAACCCCTCTGTGGCTGAGTGGCTCAGGTGGGGGGGACTAGCGACCCAGGTCTGCCTAGAGCTGCTCCTCACTCACCTCACGTTCACCTGGAGGGTCAGGGATGTGCTTGAGGCTGTGTGGGGCAGTGACTTTGCTCCTTGCTTCCTACATAACCCACTAAGAACGTGGCCCAGGGCTACGGAAGCCCATGCTGGTGGGGGCCTGGGACAAAGATTCCCCGTCATGCCTCACCCCTGGTACACCCTGACACATAACCCTAGGTGGGATCCCTCTTACTGCCCATCCCTCCATTCTGTTTCCAAAGGGCTTATGTGCACCCTGTCCAAACAGGCATGGGGAAGTGTCTTGCTCCTTTCCCGAGAGGACAGAGATGATGATGTTCAGAGAATGGGAGACAGATGCAAAACCTGTGACACCAGCCACGCCACATTGCCTGGTACCTCGAGCTGGGCTGCTTCACAAAAGCAGAGGAAGGGTGAGTTCTCCATCTAGAAGCTGTGTGTGGTCACCTGGGGACCAATGTGGGGGTGATGCTTCAGCCATGAAGTTCACAGAGGAAAGGCCTCTGGCCCCTCCCTGCTGCTCCCTTCCGGAAGGAGCCCAGATACACCAAGGGGATGTGCAAAGGGAAAGGAGCCATTCTCTGCCATCCAGGCTGTGTCTCTAACTACCTGAGAAAAACTTCAACACAACTGACAGAGCAGAGATGACCTACAGGGACAATGTGTGCTGCCCTGGAGACTCCTTGACCATGAATGTCAAGGGTAAGGAAATTGTCCTCACTTAGGGTAAGGTGTATGAATGAGTCTTCAAGCCTCCTGTATTAGTGCCTGCTCGAATCTCTCAGCCTAAAGAGCACACACGTTTTTTTGTTTTGTTTTTTGGTTTTTTTTTGTTTGTTTGTTTGTTGTTTTTTTGGTTTTTCAAGACAGGGTTTCCCTGTGTAGCTTTGGAGCCTGTCCTGTAAATCAGGATGGTCTCGAACTCACAGAGATCCGCCCACCTGTCTCCCAAGTGCTGGGATTAAAGGCGTGCGCCACCAACGCCCAGCCACCCCACGTTTTTTAATATGCAGTTACACCTAAGTGCATCTCAAGACCACAAGAAGTTGAAACCTGTGCCTTGAGGCTGTGTCTGTCCTTCTCCTATATGTCTGTCTGTCTGTCTCTCTAAATACTCACTACCTTTGTTTCAGTCTGGCTTGTCCTGACTGAAATTCTCTGTCACAGTCAAGGATTTGGCTTTACCTGAGTGGAGATTCCCAGACAAGCTCTCAAGGTTTGTGTCCCCTCAGTGCCACTGACAATTCCACAGAGAGGGCCAGCTGCATGTTGGAGTGACCAGAAAACATCCCTGCAGTGCTGAATGGAACTCAGAGTCTCACACACAACAGACAAGCCTCCATGACTGAGCCACCCCGGCATCACCTGACACACCACAGTCACGTACTCAGAGCTCGTGAACACACCCTAAGTGCAGCGAGGCTGAGAGCCATGGCCACGCTCAGCATCTCTAGAGGAAGTGAGCCGATGGGGTATCTCACCCCAGCTCCACACACTTGGATTCCAAGCCCCGAAGATGGGCCGGGTACATACACATACATTCATCTGAACCGTGGAATAAGGCCAGCAGAGGGACCACAACCCCTGCTTGTCCCATCATGGAGTCAGCAGCCTGCAACAGAAGTGGCAGTTGTCCCCGGGTACCCTACTAAGGCCACAGACCACTATTAGGTATAATCCTCACTGTACCTCTGTGGGCTAATGCTATTTGCTCCCATTTCTCAGAATGGGAAACTGAGGAGCAGGGAAAGGAGAAAGGAGAAAGGGACTCTCAGGAAGTCAGTGTCCAGACAGGTGGCCAAGCCATTTCGGCAGAACTGGTAACTGACAATCTGGTCTGTGCAGTGATGCACACTCACCGCTCACCCCATGCCTGTGTTCTCCAAACCTAGGAGGCCATGGACCAGCACCACGGTTCAGCAGGTAAAGTCCCTGACACCAAGCCTGATGACCTGAGTTCGATCCCTGCTACCCACATGGTGGAAAAAGAGACTGAACTCCCACAAGTTGTCCTTGGACAGCCACAAGTACACATGAGAACACACACAGAGACACACAAAGATATACAAATAAGCATGGTTAATAAAGAAAAATCTAGGCATTCTGGACAAGCTCAAGGCCATAAAGACAAACTCTTCCTGCAAGCACATTCCAAAGCATGGAGTAGCGGGCCAGGCTCAGCCATGGCAGGAGCACGCCATCTGACCAAGCAAGGGCCAGTCTGCCACCAGGGGTCCTAGCCAGCTAGTCAACGGTGGAGACAGCCCCTTTGTGGGGACAGCATGCCCCACCTGGCTCCAGTTCCCCAAGGTGTGTGCTAGCTAGGTTTTGCATTTGTCCATTTCTCTTGCTGGCCCCACACCCTGATACAGGCTGGTGACAAGCCTTCAGCACCTTGTAATTTACCTCTGCAACTGTCCAGCTTCATTCTCATCCCTAGACCCACCTGGACCTCATCCTAGCTTCAGCTGTGGCTGCTTCCTCTGGGGACACGCCTCTGCCTACATGAATGCTCATGGTCACTAGTAAAAAAATACACAAGCACGCCAAATGCAAGCCTGGGCCAGCGTTGCTATCGCCCCTCCCATGTCACTCCCCTCTCACCACCTCAAGTCCCCATCTCCCAATAACCCAAGACTGAAGACAATGTCACCCTACTAGCTGTAAGTAGCAGACCCCTGCCTTGGTGGCAGTCGAGAATCTTCCCAAAGAACCCAGCAATTTTACCAAGTCTAAGGCCATCCAGAAACCCTTGCTTTGCTTCAGTGAGTGGGCTCCGGCTGGTCTCAAACTCACTAAGTAGGTAGCTGAGGTGACCTGGAACTCCTGACCCTGAGTGTTGGGATTGCAGGTTTGCCCCGCCCCCAATCAGGCTCTGACATTGTGGTTCTTAAACAAGTCAGGGTTTGCATGGCAGACCCTGATCCCCTGCCACTGGGTTCTGTGAAACCCAGCAGGAGCTTCTCCTTCATGACTGAAGGCAAGGCACAACACCTTACAATGGGGTTTCTCTCTGACAAGCAAGAAACTTCCACAGGATTCTCCCCTCACAGCAGGAACCACTAGACAGGATTTACCTTTTGGTCCTGGGAAGTCATTTTCCTATTGCCTCAGGTTCCAACAGTGACAGAACTGGTGGCTGACACACCCTGCTGTCACTGAGTGTGTGCTTCTCGATCTGTCCTCAGATCAGAGTGAACAGCGTCTGAAAATAAAGTCACAAAATGTGTTGGAAGGGTACAATCTGGGAAGACAGTCAAAGTCTTAACGAACACTCCGTTGAGCGATGGCTCCACCTTGGACACCTGTGAGAAGCGTACAGTAGTTATGGTGACCAATGAGTAGAAATAACTCAGGCCCATCAATGGAGGGAGGGATAAAGAGCCACACAGTGGGATACTACCCAGCCTTCAAAGAGGAGAGCTAACAGTTGCTCAATGTTGATGACCCCACACTAAGGGAAGACAGCTGGACTCAGCACCCTATATGCGGATCCTGGCACGGTGGTGTACCTGTAACCCGGCACTCAAGAGGCTAAGGCAGGAGGGTTATGACTTCAAGGCTAGCCTGGACTGCATAGTGAGGGCCTGTCTCAAAATTAAAAAGGAAAGACGCACACCTTTAGTCCCAGTACTCTAGTGGCAGAGGCAGGTAAATCTTTGTGAGTCTGAGACCAGCCTGGTTTACAGAGTGAGTTCCAGGACAGCCAGGACTACACAGAGAAACCCTGTCTCAAAACAAACAAAAAAAAAGGAAAATTGGAGATGGTGAGATGGTAAAAGTACTTGCCCCCATATCTGTGGGTTTTTTGCTTTTTTTTTTCGAGACAGGGTTTCTCTGTGGCTTTGGAGGCTGTCCTGGAACTAGCTCATGTAGACCAGGCTGGTCTTGAACTCACAAAGATCCTCCTCCTGCCTCTGCCTCCCAAGTGCTGGGATTAAAGGCATGCACCACCACCGCCCAGCTTGCCCCCATATCTGGCAACTTGAGTTCAATCCCTGGGACTTACACAGTGGAAGGAGAGAACAGACTCCCACAAGTTGCTCTCTGGCCTCCACACGTGTGCTCCGTACACACACACACACACACACACACACACACACACACACACACTATCTCTTTGAAAAGACATTCTGAGACAAGCTTGCTCTGGCCATACACTTGCTCTGTAGACCAGGCTGGCCTCGAACTCACAGAGATCCCCCTGACTCTGCCTCCCCAGTACAGGATTAAAGGTTTGCACCAACACCCCCAACAAATAATTTTCTTTTAAGATTTATTTTTATATTTTTAAGTGTGTGTGTGTGTATGTGTGTGTGTGTGTGTGTGTGTGCGCGCGCGCGCGCTCGCACGTGTGTGGTCCAGTGTAGTGTGTAGGACTGTGCATGTGAACACAAGTGCCCTCACAGGCCAGACAGAAGTTCCGCTAAAGCTGGAGTTTCATGTGGTTGTCAGCCACGCAGTACGGTTGCCGGGAAATGAGCTCAGGTATTTTGCAAGAGTAGCATACACTCTACCCCTAAGCCATCTTTCCAGGTCCTGGCCTGTCTTTCCTTTCTTTTTCTTCCTTTCTTCCTTCTTTTTTTCTTTCTTTTTTTTTTTTTTTCGAGACAGGGTTTCCCTGTGTAGCTTTAGAGCCTGTCTTTTAAAGGAAAACTTTGGGCATTGGTAGTTCCTTTTTTTTTCTTTGGTTCTGGAATGACTACGTGTGATTTTTCAAAATTATTTTTAACATAGGTGATAGAGACATATAGTAAAACTTTAAACAGCATAGAAAGATGTCTGCTAGTGAGTCAGCCTCTACCCTGCACCTCCTTCCCAGAAGCATCCACTCTGACCAGAATCTTTGTGGCCTCCACATAGAAAGGGATGCATAGTCCCCCTTCACTTCCTTCTGACACAAATATGAGTGGCATGCTCCTCTCACAGAACCCGACTTATTTCCTTTTAGGGTGGAGCAGGCAGATTAACAGTCCCCCAGAGCACCCAGCCCTTTTCCCTGGAACCCAGAGTGCATCACTTTATGTGTGCACAACAATTAAAGAGTGTGCGACAGGAGACTGCCGGCATGGACACACTGTCAGCAGGAGGGTCTGTCGAAGCAGCAGAGGTATGAGGGATGGAGCTGTCAGCAGAGAGAAGCCTGAAGATGCCGGGTGGGAGGCCAGTGCGTGCTGTGTGCGCCCGTAAAACCTGGCAAGGACCCTCAGACCCACCCGGAGCCTCTGGAAGAAGGCTTGGAGGCCTCTCCCTTTGGACCATGGAAACTGCTTTTAGGCTTGTGACCCACAGGACTGTGAGATAATAGATGGGACTTTTTAAAAACCACCAAATGTATATATAGTCTCTGCCACAAACCGAGGACACTCACAGTTCCCAGGGGACCACACCGTGGCAACTCACTCTAGACGGACGTACTCACTGTGATGCCCGGTACTCCACTGTGGGAATGCATCGAGGTCCCCAGTGGTCACATGAATGCCTCCCACCCCCTTCCCATCCCAGAACCCCACTGGGTAGCTCTACACACCTTGCACTGTGTGCCTTTGTACATAGTCCCAAGCGTGAGCCAGGCCAGTATTGGATGTCTTTCTCAGTTTCTCGCCATGTGATTTTGTAACACATGGAGAAAGCTTGGAGCTAAGCAACTCAGTGAGACTGGCTGCTAATGCACGCACAGGTCTTCTTGTCTCTGCCTCCCAGAATTGGGATTCTAGACATGGAACATCACGGACATCTTTTTATGTAAGAACCAGGCTCAAACTCAAGTCCTCACGCTGGCGTGCCAAGCCCTTTACCAACTGAGCCGTTACCTTAGCACCCCTTGGGTTATTTTTCCAGTTACAAATACAAAATGCCATCAGCATGAGAAAAATATTCAAAGCCTTAACCCCTCCAGAAACTCACTCCCCCTTGAGCCCTCTCTTCTCCTCTTGTGCCCTCCAGCCCAGATGACTGACAAGGACTTTGGCGACAGTGGAATTCAGCCACATGCTCCTACACGCCCGCAGGTAAAGGGCCAGAGAGACGGTTTAGCTGGTAGAGGTTCTTGCCGCCAAGCCTGACAACCTGAGTCTGACACCCAGGACTCAGTGGGAGGAGAAAATCACCTCTGGCAAGGTGTCCTCTGACCTCCACATGTGGCTCCAACACACACTCACGCACACGCTCATGCACACACACTCTAAATGTAGTTAAACAAACAATGCTGGGCATGATGGTGAACGCCTTTAATCCCAGCACTTAGGAGGTGGAGGAGGCAGATAGATCTGTTAGAGGCCAGCCTGGTCTACAGAGCGAGGTCTAGGACAGCCTCCAAAACAATACAGAGAGACCCTGTCTCAAAAAAACAAAACAAAACAAAACAAAAAAGGACCCTTGATATTCCCTGTGTTTTCAAAGCAGAAACAAAACTAACTCAGATACAGAAAGACATGGGCTTCATCAGCTGAGGACAGATGGTTTCTTTTTTTTAAATTTTATTTATTTATATTTTATGGATAAGTGTTCTGCATGTATGCCTGCATGCCAGAAGAAAGTATCAGACCCTATTGTAGATGGTTGTGAGCCACCGTGTGGTTGCTGGGGATTGGACTCAGGAGCTCTAGAAGAGGACCTCTTAACCCCTGAGCCATCTCTCCAGCCCTGACAGAGGGTCTCAAACTCCAATGTCTTCCACAATAAACCAGCACAAACAAATAAAAATGATGAAACCCAATGCCTGAGTGGCTATGGAGAAACCTCACCATGGCTGGAGAGACATGACCTAGACAGACAGACATCTAGTAACAGGGACCAGCACCTTCCAAATGACTACACCCTAGACTTGGCCACTTTCGTTCAGACACTATCCCAAAGGGCTTCCAGCAAATCTGCAGGCAGCAGTGTTCTGGCACAGTGAATGTGTGACCAACCCCCAAAACCCGCATGGGAGAAGCTGAAAGCCACATGAACCGGGAGGAAGGGCACACTAGGGTCTGGGCAGAGGTGGAGAAAGCAGGCCGTTGAGCAACCAGAGCTGATAAGTGTTAACCAACTCCACGCTTACCACGATATGGAGCCGTTTGTGCTGTCCTCCATGCTAGGCCCTCAGAGCCTGGAGATGACAAACATCACAAGGACAACACAGTGCGGAGGCCACACTCCCCGGCCTTCCCGGTGTGTGACAATAGGAAAGCACGGGACGAGAAGCCGGGCTCTTTCAGGTTGAGTGGCCAGGCTCCCGACGAAGTGACAAGGGGCTTCCTGAATTTCAAGAAGACTGTAGGGACAATTAAGAGGAAGGTCCTTTGACAGCAAGAACTTAGGAGGACAGAGTGGGGAGTGGACAGAGTCAGAGAAGCAGGGCAGGAGATGCGAGTTAAGGTAAACTGTAGGGCGTTGGTGGCGCACGCCTTTAATCCCAGCACTTGGGAGGCAGAGGCAGGTGGATCTCTGTGATTTCGAGACTAGCCTGGACTACCAAGCGAGTTCCAGGGCAGCCTCCAAAAGCCACAGAGAAACCCTGTCTCGAAAAACAAAACAAAAAAAAAAAAAAAAAAAAGATAAACTGTAGGAAGGGGATGGCCTGGGGGATCTCCCAGGGCTCCCAGCTTGTGGGACATACTGAGGAGTTGGGGGAATAAGAGACACAGCAGGGACATGGTGAGGAGGGCGAAGGAGGATGGAGGTCTGGACTTGTGGCTGGCCTACATGGAGTGGGAGTTAGGAAGGGACACGGGGACTCTGGCTGGGGTGGCCGGGAAAGGAAGTCTGGGGGCACCGTCCGGGCTTCCTCCTTTTTGCTAAACCATGGCCAAGGGAGGGTTGTGGGCCAAAGGGAGTTCTGGACTTGGGTAAGTCTTAGCCTAGAGATTCTCAAACCCTGCTTTGACCAGCTTTTTGGCCAGAGGCATCCTGGAGGCAGAAGTTGCTGTCCCCAGCCTCTGCCTTACTCAAGAAACCTCAAGCAGCAGCGGTGGGCGGTCAGGAAACCCTGCAAAGCCCGGAGAGTCCCCACTGACCTGAAGTGAAGGGACCAGGATGCAGAAGTACTTTCAGGGGTAAGGAGAAGAGTAGAGCAACACAGCTCCCAAGTGACCCTGAGCTAGATGGGGAGCTAAGACTCCCCAGCCGTCTCAGCAGTCCTGGGGGGCAGACACCGCTCAGAATGCCACGGGGGCAGAAACGGACACAGACACAGAGGGTGGCACAGTCTCACGGCTAAGGTGTGTAGAGTCTCACGGCTAAGGTGTATGAGCCCCTCCCCCAGAGGGTATAGGTGCTAGGTAAAGGGGAGGGACTGCAGAGGGGTGGGGATGCTGCTCTCAGTCTTACAGTATACCCTAGCCCACCCCGCATTCATTCTTATTCCTTGGCGCCCCTGAATCCAACAGGTGGGGGTTCAAATGGTTTCCAAAAGGCGCTACTGAGTTGGGATTCCTCCTGCTAGATTGCACCAGTAGGATGGTCCGTTGGGGCCTCCTCCTGGGGTGCAAGCACTACCCATACCCCCTTCCCTCCTGCTGTCTCCCTGTAGTTGCTGTGGGGCTCTGGGATGGGGAATGGGGCTTAGGGCTTCACACCCACCTTCTGGAGTGCTGGCTGAGCTGGCTGTGCCTCCTTTGCTGGCTCTCTCCACCTGTAGGAGGGGGACACTGTTGCCTCCTCCACGGGTCACAGGGTCACACAGTGATGGGTGTGTCAGAGTTAGGGTGGTGGATCCTGGTAACGCCCACTAGGAGAGGAGGCGCTTGTCAGTGCCCCATTCCCCGGGGAGGATAGCGGGGTGGGCCAGTCACAGTTCACGAGGCAGCACCGGGCCTCAGCCACCCCCCGGTGCCCGCCAGGCCTGGCCTGGTTACTCCCAGCCCCCTCTGCTAGGCCCCAGCCAGGATGGACAAACGTCCTGCCTAGGAGCAGTCGCGCTCGAATTACGAATCACGGGGATGGAGGGTGGCCAGGGCTTACTTCCTCCCTCCAGGCCCTCAGGCCGGTCGGCCGCCCCCAGAGCAGCCGCGGCGTGTAGGGCAGGACACCCCCAGCCTGAGATGCGCCTAAGGCTGGACAGAAGATGGTCACCCCGCGCTCCCCGAGCCCCATCCTCATTACCTGACTGCAATCTGCTCAGCTCGGTTCTCATTCCAGGGCACACTCAAGCACACCCCTGCTCTGCAGAGCCCAGGGGGCGGTCCCATGGCCTCTTTGGGGGTGTGGTGGGGCAGGAGTTTCCACAGCGGCTCTAAACTTGCTACAAACTCGGGAATCTTTGGAGGCACCCATGGGCTTCCACACAGCTGAGAGGCCCGCAACTCTGAAGCGGCTCTGCAATGACAAAGCCAAAGTATGCACAGAGCCGGGGCTCTTCTGCAAGGCTGTCCTAGGTGACAGCACGCTCCCCTGACCCCGTGAGCCTTCCCAAGGACCACCTCCCCCAGCCCTCCTCCAAAGCCTCAGTGCTCGCTAGAGGAGATGCACTCCCTAGCTGGCTTCACGGGGACAATTGATACAAGAGCAGGTTGAAGAGAAAATCCTCCTATGTGCCCGTGGAGATGGTCCCAAGAAAAGTCAGGCCCGGAGAAATGGAGCCGGGGGCGGGGTAAACTCGGAATGCTGCTGAGAGATGTTGTACTCGAGTCTGTATGTGTGTGTGTGGGTGACACTCAGGGAAGTAGTTTCCTAGCATGCTTACTCAGACCCACCGCCCCCCAAAATGGAAGCGATGATCCCGCCTCTTCAGAGCTCCAGCCCTTCATAGCTCCTGCGTGTGAGACCCCTAAAAGGCTTCCGTCAATCCAGCCTAATTAAGCGGGCAGTCTACAACACTTGTTTCATTGTAAACACCTGTAGGTCGTGGGCTAGCCCCCGCCCCCATCCTCATCTAAAGAACCACCTCAAAGCTGACATCACCTGCTGGGAGTTACAACCCATCCAGACAGGAGGGGCCTTCAGATACTCATCCTTAGGCTCTGGCTGACTCCCTGCTGTATGTGCTGGTGCCTTTTACCTCTCAACTCAACCAGACCTAAAATCACCGGGAAAGAAAGGCTCAACAGATCAGGTGGCCTGTGAAGCTTGTCTGTAAGGGATTCTTAATTGTTAACAGGTGTGGGAAGACCCAGCCCCTTGTGGGCAGCATCATTCCCTTGGCAGGGGTCCTGGGCTGTAGGAGAGGGGAGAAAGTTAGCTGAGAGCAGGGAAGCAGGAAGGACTCATGAGTCACTCTCTGTCTATTCTTGACTGTGGACATGAGGGTTTAAGATCCTGCCTTGATGTCCCCACTATAAAGGACTGTGACAGGAATTATGAGGTTTTTGTCAGGGTGTTTGTGACAGAAACAGATGAAACTAGAGCACTGTATAAATTAGTAACGGGGTGCTGAACACCTTTGATCACTGCTGCTATTAAGCACTGTAAAAGATCCCAGTCAAGCAGTCGGTGGTGGCATAGCTTTAGTCAGCTCTGGGAGGCAGAGGCAGGAGGATCTCTGAGCTCAAGGCCAGCCTGATCTACAAAGCAAGTTCCAGGGCAGCCAGGACTGTTACCCAGAGAAACCCTGCCTTAGGGAGGGAATGGGGTAGGGGTGGGGGGGGAGGGGGAGTAGGGGGTGGAGATCCTGGTCAAAGCAGTAAGGAAAGTTGATGATTAAAAAGACAGAAGTGCCGGGCGTTGGTGGTGCATGCCTTTAATCCCAGCACTTGGGAGGCAGAGGCAGGCGGGTCTCTGTAAGTTCGAGACCAGCCTGGACTACCAAGGGAGTTCCAGGACAGCCTCCAAAGCCACAGGGAAACCCTGTCTCGAAAAAACCAAAATAAATTAATTAATTAATTAAGTGGCTGCCCTACCCTGCCTCACCCGTCCTTCACATTTCTCCCCAGCTCGCCTGAGAGTCAGCCACTGACTAGCAGCTCTCTGTAGCGGTCCTGCTCCCTCCTCCTGATGCTCACAGAACATGTCAGGGAAGATGGAAGCCCAGGCCTTGGAGGATGTCTCTGAGCTCTCCTCCCTCTCCCCCAGCAGGAAGAGGTTGCCTCCAAGGGTTCACCTGTCTGTCTGCAGTGCTCCCACTTGGGGCCACCCAACACTTCCCTTTGGGGCGCACAGGCCAGGTCCTGGCTCTGGGAGCACTGAGAAGACGGAAGGGAAGGGAGAGGAGGGGATGTGGTTTCCGCTGGAGATGGGCTTGGGTTTTCCAGAGTTGCATCTGTTGCCTGAGCCCACACCATGTGATTCACTTGCAGCGTTGACAGCCCCATGACCCTGTCTGCATGAGGCTCAGGGGCCTGTGTGTGACGTCGCAGCATGGCTAGGGCTGTGAATGGAGCTTGGGGGTAGCATGTGAGACCCCAGGTTTGACCCCTGGCACCGCCAAAGTGTGTGGGACGGCCCCGTTCTCTGCTGCTGACTTCTGCTTTGTTGTTCAGAATGGTGAGGGAGAGCAGAAGAACAGCCGTTGGCTTCAGAGGGGCCTTTAATCCCAGCGCTGGGGAGGCTCTAGAGGCAGGCAGATCTGTGAGTTCAAGACCAGCCTGGTCTACCTAGTGACACTGTTTCTCAAAAACAAAAGCAAAAGATTCCAGTGAGAAGCAGGCGGCATGAACGCTGACATTTCAGACAGTGAAGTGTGTAGTTGAGGCAGGTGAGATGGCTCGGGGGTAAGGGTGCTTGCTGCCAAACCTGACAGCCTGAGTTCAAACCCTGGAACGCACATGGTGGAAGGAGAGAACCAGTCCTTACGTTGTCCTCTAACTTTCACCCACACACTGAGGCACACTCATGGGCTTCCACACTCATGGACTTCCACGCTCATGGACTTCCACGCTCATGGACTTCCACACTCATGGGCTTCCACACTCATGGGCTTCCACACTCATGGACTTCCACACTCATGGGCTTCCACACTCATGGACTTCCACACTCATGGACTTCCACACTCATGGGCTTCCACACACTTCCACACTCATGGGCTTCCACACTCATGGGCTTCCACACTCACCACATTCACAAATAAATACAAATTGTAAATCCTAAACAAAAACATCAACCCTGGCTCTGGTCGCTGGGTGACTTGGGATTACTGGGAGGTAAAATCACGGGTCAACAATGATGGGGAGGAATAGAGGTGTGGAGAGAGCGGTTGCATGGCATCTTGGCGCTGGCTATGAAGGGAGGCAGAGCTGTTTGCTCAGCAGTGAGCATGGGGATCCAGGAGAGTCTGTGAGGGGCTATCCTAGCCATGCAATCCTGTGACCTGAGGTCAAAGGGCAAGTGTCCTGCAGGCTGGATGTTTGACTGATTGTGTGTGTGTGTGTGTGTGTTGTGTATTTATGTGTGCATGTCAAGTGGTGGCCAGAGTTCAACCTTGGGTGTTGTTCCTCAAGAGTCAGCTACATTATTTTTTGTGATGGGGCCTGGAGCTCACGGATTAGGCTAGACTGACTGGCCAGTGAGGCCCAGGTTTCTGCCTGTCCATCTCTGAGATCACAAGCATGCACCGCCATGCCTGGATTATTTCATATGGCTGCTGGGGATTGAACTCAGGTCCTCCTGTTTTCATGGCCACCATTTGCCAACTGATCTACACTCTAGCTCCTTTTATTGCTGTTGAGACGGCTCACGTACCCAGGCCTGCCTCAAACTTACTAAGTACCCAAGGATGTCCTCAAACTTTTGATCCTCCAGCCTTGACCTCCGGAGTGCTGGGATTATAGGCACCACCACATCCCACTTGGGCAGTTAGTCCAAGTCTGGAGCTGAGCATCCGGGGTGCACAGCTGATCTTACAAACGCGGGCTGAGCTGGGAGCCCATTCCAGAGGCTGAGCCCGGTGGAGAAGATGAAGGAGAGGCTGGGGACGGAGAGGAGGCAGAGGTAGAAGAAAAGCCCAGGGCACGCAGGGCTCTGGAAGCTGGAAAGAGGGCCTCTAGAGGGAGGGGAGCCATGTGCCAGGACAGGTCGTGTCCTGAGCCTCCCTGGGGTTCTTCAGACAGGACATCACTTCGGGCAGAGCTCTGCCTTGCTCCACCTGCTGTTCACTAGTGGAAATGACTCTCCTAGGCATGCCATGGCCTGGCCAAGAGTGAGGGTTCCACCACAGGTGAAGGTCAGAGGATAGCTTTCAGGACGCTGTTCTCTTCTTCCATGTGGGTTCCTGGGGATCAGAGTCAGGTCATCAGGCTCACCGTCACTCAGGTTGGTGACAAGCTCCTTTACCCGCTGAGCCATCTCACTGGCCTCTCCTTGAGCTTCTGACCCTGCTCCCTCCACCCTCTGAATGCTGACGTTACAGGCCCCAAGCATGCTAGACAAGAACTCTCCCAGCCCCTGTGGACTGTGTAAGTCTTGACAGTCTTTTCACTTGGAGCTTCACTTTCTTGAGTGGGATCCAAATGCATAAGGAACTCTCAAAGGAAGAAAACCACGGAGCAGTGGGAAATGACCCAGCAAAGCACCTCCCACATCAGCCAAGCTCGTAGAACCTGCTGGTGGCAACTTCACACACATTCGGTACAAAGCAAAGGAGGTTCACACTTGAAGCAGTGGCCTGGATCAAAGTAGGAATGCAAGGTGTATCTCACACCCAGACTCCAGCATCTCAGGGAAGAGTCTGACCCCACACCCCGCCAAACGCAGCAGCTACATGCACGATGGATGGCAGACACTGAGAGATGCCGCAGAGCAATCAGAGCCCTCTGAATTAAAACAACGGAAGTAGTCGGGCATGGGTGGCGCACGCCTTTAATCCCAGCACTAGGGAGGCAGAGGCAGCAGATATCTGTGAGTTCAGGGCTAGTCTGGTCTACAGAGCGAGTTCCAGGACAGCCTCCAAAGCCACAAAGAGAAACCCTGTCTAGAAAAGCAAAAATAAACAAACAAGCAAGCAAATAACGGAAATGCTGCTTCTAGCCAGGCCTGTCATCTAATCATTGGGAGGTAAAGGCAGGAGGACCACAAGTTCAAAGTCAGCTTGGGAAATTTAGTGTGACCCTGCTGCAAAGAGCAAAAGGAAGGTTGAGACTGTGGCTTAGTGGGTTCATTCCCAGTACCAGCCCCAAGGCCACGCTCTTAAAGAATTATTTTTATTTTATGTGTGTTTTGTCTGCTTGTAGACCGCAACATGTGTGTGCAGCACCCATGGAGGTCAGAAGAGGGCATCAGATCCCTTAGAACTGGAGTTACAGGGCTGGAGAGATGGCTCAGAGGTTAAGAGCACTGGCTGCTCTTCCAGAGGTCCTGAGTTCAATTCCCAGCAACCACATGGTGGCTCACAACCATCTGTAATGAGATCTGGTGCCCTCTTCTACCATGCATGCATATAGACAAAACAGACAAAACACTGTATACATAATAAATAAATCTTAAAAAAAAAAAACAGAGTTACAGAAGGTTGT